TTATTGGAATGGTGGCATCCTGGCCTGGGGAAGGATAAACTAGTGTGGAGTTTGCTATGTTTTTCAAAATAGGCATAGAGTTGGTACAAGGAAGAGGCTGACCAATTGTTTCAAGTCTTCTGATAATAAAACCAGGGGTGAAAGACTTCAACTAGAATAGAACAAGCTCAGAGATGTGGAAAAAGAACATCTGAATTTCAGGGGATTGAAAGCTACCTCAGATGGCCTAGAGAGGTGATGAGCTTTCTGCCCAGAGTTTAGTTGAACACATACCTGAAGTATGGGATAATAAATATATTAATAGGTTTATAAATATACTAATTGAATTATGCACAATACATTTTAAGTTCTCTTGCTCCTTACTGCTTGAAGTCTGTCAAGAGCCTAGGTCACTAGGAGCCTGTTAGAAATGTAGAATTCCAGGTATCACACCAGACCTACTGAATCAGAATCCTCATTTTTAACAAGATCCTCAGGGAAAGTGTATCTTTGCCTTCTATAGAGTACTCTGCTGCACATAAATAAAAGCAGTATTTAAAATTCTTAAAGTAATTACAAAAAAGCTTTTATCATAGTGTAGCTGACAGAGAGAAAGCTGTCTGGTGATCATATTTTCCTTCTTGTTTATTTAAATGCCATTAGTTAACTGCCTTATTGAACACCTCCAAAGACATCCATTGAAAGTTGTTTTTATAAACATCAGAAAATCAGATTTATAAAGTTCTTACAGAGGCAAATAAACTGATTTTCAAAAGTGGCCTCCTCTTTCAGCTAATTCTTACATAAATATTATGACAAAGGCAAAATCAATAATGATGTGTCCATAAAGTAGCAGGTCTGAAATCCAACTACCGATTCAAGTGTGGCCTCAGTAGAATCATCAGTGAAAGAGAAGCCAATGGCTGGATTTGGTCCTGGACTCTTGTTGCTAGCTAGCTGTGTCACTCATCCTTCCTGGGCTTTGGTTTTCCTCATCTGTGAAATAAAGAACAGCTGAGATGACTTCTAGCGCTTTTACATCTTTAATATTCTAAGATCCTATGAGCTACCGTACTCTCAACAAGAGCATGGGAAATCGAATTTTCCTTAATTCACTGTATGTAACCCTTCCATTATCTGTATGAACCACCAATGAAAGGGCAAGCTGCTGGAAACCAAATGTCTAAATACCAAACAGATGAACAGAAACACCTTCATTCAGAGCAGGAGGGTGTGGACATTACAGCCTAGAAGGGTGAACACCTCATGTACTCCCTGTAAACAGCTGGCAGTTTAGCCCAGCTGCTCACAAACCAGACAAGTGTAGGCTGCTCGCCCACGTGCAATTATGTGTGAAGTATAGCAAATCTAAAAATAGCCTGCGTGCAGCCACAGAGATTAATACTGTCAATGGCTTTCAACTCAACTGTCAGGACGACAAGAAGGGAAGTAACCATAGCAACAGAAAAATCAACACATACAAAAACTCTTCTAAAGTTGACAGGAAAGTTTAGGTTTAATAAAACACACATTTTCGATTCTTATCTCTGAATCTCTGAATTCAAACAGTTCAATTATGTGGAGGAAATAAAATTAGAATTTTGGCAGAGCTCTGACAGAACAAATACCCCTTCAGTTTTGGGTTCCAGAACCAGAGGAGGTACCACTAACCTGTCAATTTGGCCTCTATCATCTACCTAATTAAAGAGCCATTGGAACAAATGCCATTAGATAACTTTTACCTGAGAGGCTTCTCTCCCTATACTGGTTCTGCTATTAGTTATGAAAACAGCCTTGAATCACACTTGATATTTTAAGATATTTATTGCATGTCTGAGGAAAACAATTGATGATATGGAATTCTCTTGAGACGAATGGAACTTAGTGAAAATAATTAACATTAGGGAAGGATAGAAAAATAACTCCTACAATACATTTCTGAGACAGTTTTCACATAATGGAGGCTCAGCACACCTCATATCTTGAAGTGCTGATGTATTATGTTCTGATAAAGCTTATAAAGCTATTCTTGCTCAAGGAGCTCACACAACTAATCTTGGAACCAGCGTACCCAAAATTCTAGCACCATTTTGCATTATTTGATAACGGAATATTCAGTTGGGGGCTGAGAAATGTGGTACTGCCCCCAGCTTTTCAACTACTAGTTGTGGGGCCCTGGACAAGTCGCTGCTCAGCTCTATGGCCATGGGCTGCGTGAACCTCTCGATTCTTCCCTGAGAAGAGAGAGTTAAAGAGTTAAAGGGAAAGAAGAGATGACTTGTGTTGAATACCCACTTTGGGCCATGCCCTATGCTAGGGTTTAAAAATATATCTGGCAACAAACTGGCAAGACAGATATTTTTATCTCCATTTCATGTATGAGAACATATTCATAAACAGGCTGAGCCGAGTGACAGAGGCTGGATTCAACCCTAGGTCTATTTGCTGCCACATGAGGTTGTCTTTCCTTCTCGGATACCACTTCACCAATACACTCTTGCCTGCTATCTATACAGATTGATCCCGCAGTGTTAGTTACATGCACTTAAGCCATCCGTAGATTTTCAGCGCACGTCTTATATTTTCTAAGAATGGAAGATTAGGTCCCTTAGAAAATCCTTTTACAATCTTCCTTTCTCTAGGCAACCACTGTTAACAGTATATTTATATCAAATATACACCATTCTGCTATCTGCTTTTTTCATTTAATAATCTGTCATGAACATTTCCTTATGTTGATAAATGAAAAAGCATTTTAATCTTTATAAAGATTGTATTACTATATTATATTCAATCTCTTACTAATGGATATTTCAGTTGTTCCAATTTCATTCTCCTTTAATAATCAGAAATAGAAAAATATCACATGGAAAAAATACTAGAATATTAAAATAATTTTTTAAGGAAGGATGAGAAGTCAAAAACTAAATCAAGACCTTTACTTAAATTAATCTTTGTGTTTTCCTCAAACTGTTGCTTAGAATCAAAGTTACCTATACTGTAGGAGCATCCCTTAATATATCACTGTTATATTATGCAGATGAACTGAAATGCATCTGAGGGCCCTGAGACCCAGAATTCTTTGGCGCATCCGTCAACCCCACTTTAAATATGCAGTCATGCTATTTATATGGGGACAAGAAGTAGACAGCTATGTGAAGGGATTCTGGCTGAAAGTGAAACATACACACAAAAACAAATCTAGTTTTGTGGTTAGTTGAAAATTCACAGCTGGTATGGGCTTTTCTTTCCATTTTAATTAAAGTGTTTCCCTCTCCCATACAATAAGAAAATGCTGTTTTAGTGTGGATTGAAAGACCAAAGTCAGAGCAAAAGCTGTTTGAAAATTCTGAGGCTTAAGTAAAGCTCCCTTAAAGGCTTCTGTGTGTACCAAACAACTTGGAAGTTTCTTAACAGGATTTTGTAGCGCTCAAGAAAATCTTTCTCCTAATTACTTCACTTCTTTGCTCTCCTACTTTGGTCAAAACTAAAATCAAGCAATACAAAGGTCACCCAAGTAGCCAGAACAGAAAAAACTACACAGACACACATGCACACTTTAAAATTAAAATTATACTTAAATAACTAAGCAAAATTAGTCATGTAACATATATTATTTATATAAAGCATTATTTTTTCTGATGCATTTTAAAATGTGATATTAGATAATATGAGATTCATATAAACAGGTTTATGCAAATTTTTTAAATTGACCATTAAACAGCATATAAGCAGAGTTTAGAAGGGGGTGGAATCAGATGTGACAAGGGTAACATTTGTTGCTGTGATGAGATAGACTAGCCTGTCAATCATTTAGCAGGGCTTCTCCTGCTGTTTTTACCTTGTGAACCCTGTCTCTGAAGGAGTGGTTGAGAGAGTAGAAATAAGGCTGAGGGTAAACACGACCCAGCTGCTAACAAGACACTGGTAGGCAGGCAGCCACTTAGATCAGCATCTCTTGAAATTCCTGAGAGAACATTTATTACTTGCTTGAGTCAGTATGGTTTAGCGATTTCGGTCCCTTGTAATGGACTCATGACCTAAATAACAGAGCTTATTGGAGTCTGAAGGTAGAAAGTTTACCTCCAGTGAAGGCCTTGGTGGATTCCCTTTGATTTCTCCTCTGAGGCAGGATGCATCCTGATTTCTTACAGTACCTGGTCTTGCCATTTCTCCCCACTACAGAGCAGCACACTGGCCATTTCCATAAAAGTACATGTCTTATTTTCCTAATTTATTCCTAAACTATAAATGTTAGACCCTGGAGAGTGGAGAAGGAAAGGATATTTAAAAAAATGACCCAAAAAATATTAATAATGTGCATGACAAAAGCTTTTGTATGCAACATGAGGTTACTGAAATGATGCACATGTGAGTTAGCAGAGACCATTTCTAATACAAAATAGAGAACCTTTACAAATGTAGAACAGTGCCTGAAAACTTTCTAATGTGATATATGTATAACTCCCATGTGAACTGAACTTCAAACTAGGATATTTCTTAGAATATAAGCACAGTAGGAAGAAAAAGTTATGCATTTCAGGCAGGTGGTTAAAAAATACATATTTAAAAAATATAAAGAAAGCATTGTCAAAATAATAATCACACTAGTGATTTGCAGGCAGGTTGGCACAGCAGTACAGCTGATTATTTGATCTTGAAAGCTCAACATTTCATTTTGGTCTGAGTTAGACAGACATTTATAAAGGGCAGTGTAGCAGTAGAAATTGAAATCTGTAGTCGAATTGCTTGATTTTGAATTTCTACTCCACATAACTACTGATATAATCTTGGGACATTTTCTTCTGTGCTTCAGTCCCTCTGTGCTTCAATCCCTCTGTGCTTCAGTTTTCTTATCTGTATAATGTGGAGAGTAACAGTACTTCTACTATAAGGCTGTTGTGAGGATTAAATGAGATAATTCATGTAGACAGCCTAACACAGGACCCAGCGCACAGTAATGCTGGTGGCTATTACTGTCACGACTGTCCTCATCCCAGGGCCAGTTGCAGTTCACTCACCAAGATGAGTGTCCATCGCCTTTGCACAGTATTTGCACATAGCATCCAGGTCATTCAGCTGTCCTTGAAGGAAGGAAATTTGGGCTTCTAATTCTTCTTCCTTAAATGCAAGGGATAAAGATATGGAAATTTAAAAAATAAAATAAAATAAAATCTCCCAAATTCACTAAATGTTTTGGACTATTTTCAGGAGGCACAATCTTTTTTTAAATCTAGACAAAGCAAAAGAAAACAGCAAGTAAACAAAAACAAACCCACCACTGTCACCAGCAACAAAACAGAAAAAGGGTAAAATGGAGACTTAAAAAATCTGGACTTTTCCTAGTTGAATTCTAGCTTTGTGTCATGTGGAACTGTTTGCACATACAACATTGTATTAAAGAGTACATAAAATATCTTCAATAAGTATTGAGCAACACAAATTTAGAGGGCAAATTGGATTTCACTGGTCCATACTTCCTAGGCAGCTGGTACAAAAATATCACATTTTTTCCCTCACACACATTTAAGAAATCAAAAATTTCCATTTATATAAGACAAATCTCATCATTTCCTAGACAATGATAATCACTTAAAATGTGAGATTTCCCAGAGCACTTGGAAAAGTTTTGCCCCAGCAGCCCATAAGTAGCTGCTCTTACATTTCCTCTCTTGATATGACACTGGAGTATTTTATTTATTTGTTTCTAGGAAAAAGTACTCTGGGTTGAGTAATTAGCTAAGTGGTAAAAAACAATCTAACTGTAACAAAAGGATAAAATCTTTTTTAAAAATGAAAAGATAATATATGTAAAAACTTTCTCAAGGAAATTTAGAAGATTATGGGAGTTTTTCTCAGAGAAAAAGAATAATCCTCATCATTTAGGATATTTTAAACCAAGTTAGATAGAACAGGAAGAAAGGATGTTGCCAGAGTTGGAGTAGGCTAGAAAATCAATTTTCCAATCTTAGATGCTTGTTCTTTCACATAAGACTCCTTTGTGTCATTAAAAAAGAAGGAAAGAAAAACCTACCGAGGTATCCTTTCTCTTAGAGAATAAGTATAATTTGACTTGTACATGAAAAAATAGCTGAAAAGGTTACTTGTAGGTGTATTCCATTTTAACAATACACATAAGCAGCCTTGAAAACTATTGTTTTTTAAATGTTGCCTGGAGAACCAGCCCTTAGGAATAGGTATTGAAATCTTGACACAGAAAACAGATATAGCAGTATCTCCAAAAAATAATTATTGTGAAATGACCACTGCAGGATTACACAAGCACTAACCATGTTCTTTACATATGCTACAAAGTGCAGTAGCCTCTCCTAAGCAGCTCAACCAAAGGGTGAATCCAGGGGACTGTGGGGAGGTGGAGTTGCCTTCCTAACTCTTCAGCTGAACAGTAAGGTAGAAAAGGACGAGGTGTTTCAGGGCATTTTTCTACTTCCTTTCCTTCTTTGTTTTTGTACAGGCTTGAATTTCCCTGGTCTATCAGGAAACTGTAGGAATTAGAGAAAGAAGGCTACATCTCTTGGTTAACTATGGTTGTGGTTAGTCTCCAAAGATGGCCACCATCAGTTCCTTTTCTCCCTGAATAGGCATGTCGCTCCATTCATTAAGAGGTAATGGTCAAGCGAGGTGGCTCAAGCCTATAATCCCAGCACTTTGGGAGGCCGAGGCAGAAGGATCACGTGTGCCCTCAAGTTCTAGGTTATAGTGAGACGTGATCACACCACTGCATTCCAACCTGGGTGACAGAGCCAGACACTATCTCTTTAAAAAAAAAAAGGGCAGGGGGATAGGATAGTATGTATTTCCCCTTTTCTTGACTTTGGACTGGCTTTGTAACTTGCCTTGATCCAAACAATGTAGCAAAAGTCAAATTGCCAATTTGGGGATAGTTTAAGAGGCCTGCCAGCTTTTGCTTTCACTAGAAGATAACTATCATGCTGTAAAGTAGTTCATTTTAGACTGCTGAAGGAAAGGAGAGAATGTATGGGAGTAAAAAGCCACATGAGAAGGACTGAGGTTCCAGACATATTAATGACGTTTTTCTGGACTTTTCAGCCCAACCCAGCTGAAGCCGGCCAAGTGAGTAACCCAGTCAATACCATGTGGAAGAAAAGAACAACCTAACTGAGCCCTGCCCAAATTCCTGAACCTAGACCTGTAAGAAACAACAGTGTTGGTGTCTTAGGTACTAAATTTGGGAGTGGTTTGTTATACAGTAATAGATAACTGAAACAGTGGTAGAGTGGAAATAACACTAACTTGGCATGAGGAAACATAAGTTCTATTCTTGGTCCTGTCAATAACCAATCATGTAAACTTAAGTAATTCTCTACCTGCTCTGGACCTAAATTTAGCACTCTCTGGAGAACGTGAAAGTCAGAGGCTTTGTTGCCAAGGAGTTTACAAACTGGTAGTTGGAATAAGAAAGTTACATGGTCCCAGCCTCCTGTCATCTTTTCAGTTTGTCGCAGACACAAATCCAATGGGATGAGTCTAGAACCATACCAAGGCCAGAGTGTGGCAGCCTTTAAAAAGAAGGCCCAGCTGTTGCCTGTGTTTCACCTTACATGTGGCTACCAACTGGGGTGCTGACAGCCCAGAGTCGACAAACGGGCACTAGGGATGCAATGCTTCCTGGCTTAAAGACATCTTCTCTATTTACTCTATGCATTAGTTGAATTTGGGTTAGCAACTACTTTGTTTAAAATATCAACGCCCTTGGGAGGTTTAATGCCCAATAGTCATTCTACCTAGATGGATTTTTTTTTTTTTTTTTTAAAGGAGAGCAAACTAGGAAAGAAGAACTTCAGAAGAAATACTTTAAAGGATATAGGCCCAGCCTGTTGGCAGTGGGGTACTGGACAGTTGGAGGGAAGTATGTAGTTCACAGACGGCCTCTTTCTCAGAGTACTTCAGTGTTCTAGTAGGAACATTATTGTAATAGAGTGTGATGAGACTGGGGCCCTCTAACTTGTGCAGTGCATGTGGGAGTCCTGAGAGCATGGCAGCCCAGGGCACTTGCTGCGTGAATATGCAGGGACGTAAAAACACAAATTTCCAAGTTTGCAATTTTGCTTAGGGCTCTGGCGACAATCGAAGAGCATCTTGCATGCCTAAAACCCAAGTAACTCTCAATACAAACAGAATATGATTGTCTCAATATAAACAGTGTATAAAAAAGTAGCTTTCAATCATTCAAACCTTCTTTTTCAAAGGAGAGCTTATACAGAAGCTTAGAATATGAGATAAAAGAAGACTACTGTGATTGAAGCAGGTTGAGGGCCAAGAACCTCAAAATCCAGCATATTATACCTCTAGAGTTTGCTCAATCTTAAAACATTCCTAAACTCTTCAACTATCACTCAGACTTTATAAATAGAATGGAATCACTTGGAGGAAAAGGGGTGGCTTGTCATTTATTCTTCACTATATTACATAATTACAGATAACGGAAAGAGCCAAGAATCAAGCCTCTAAAATTCTGGGAACTGACTTTACATTTCTATCTTAGCTTCTCATGATCCACACTCTTCCCGGCTAACAATGCTTTAAACATTGACAGCTTTATTTATTTGTTTTCATTAAATTGGTCCTCATAAAAATTTGTCCTCATAAAAACAAATTTCATTAAATGTGTCTCCATAAAAACAAACGCTTGGCTAACTGCCTTGAGGTATTATGAAAGCAACCACTTAGTTTAATTTTTATATGTAAATAAGACACTAAAGAGATATGCTTTTTATATTTACTTCTGTATCTATGGTCTGCCTTCTGTTTATAGGAATGAGTGTGGTGGGGCATGATGGAATTCGGAAGTAGACACGGGTTCAAATCCTATTTTTGCCAGTTCCTAGCTATATAATTTTGGACAAGTTTCTTAATTTCTTGGTTTATTCACCCCCACCTGGCAGGATTGGGGGTGGGGCACAAAATAAGAACACATGGAGAGCACAGTGTCTGGCACAGAATAGGCACTCAATAAAGGTAATTATTCTTTCTTTTTGAAAATTTGTTATAATCAAAGTTAAAACAGAGAAATGAATTTTAAGTATAAGGTTTTATGATATACTGTTGGAAAATACTGGTTTCTGGTTTTAAGACCTTTTTCTTTCTTTAGCTTAGAAAGATTAATTAGAGCTTAAGAGCCCATCACTATCTTAAGTTCTGGACAGCAAATTCATGTGCAAGGCAAGAAACTGACAGAGGATTATGAAGTTGGGCCACATACAGACTACACTGTGCAACATCACTAATTGTATTTGGTAGCCCTGTGGGGACAGACCAGAGGATGAAGGCCACTCTATCAGAAGAGAAGAGTAACTCTTATCTAACCCTTTTATACTGATCATAATATGCTAGATACGGAGCTTTGCACGTATCAACATATTTAATATGTTAACATTTAACATATTAACACCAAACCTATAGAGACTCTAATTATCTCCTCCATAAAACATGGTCTACCCCTCTGTAAGCAACACTGTTTGGAAGTGTATGCTAAGGTTTAGATAGCGATTTGAAAACTCAAGTCACGAGGCCCACTACTCGCATTTCTTCCCTCTGAGCACGCTCTTCTTATGCTCAGTTACTATGGTCCTTCTAATGAATAACCCCGTATCTCCGTTTCCCTTAACAAAGACTTACCAGTTGTAATGAATGTTGAGGCCTAACCCTAACTTTCTTGCTGACTTATTTTCCTTCAAAAACATTCAGGTATGACTGGCTATGTTCTGTTTTGTTATTTGCTGAATGATTTTCATTTTGACTGAATAATCTGAAGAAACAGTTTTTTGAACTTGCCGTTTAAAAAATGGTGTTTCTACCACCATTACCCCCCAAATAGCTGACACATCATTATACTTCTATTCAGATATTATAGATCAGTTGTCTACATTATATGAATTTTATGTATCAATTTTACTAAATAACTCAATGTCTTTCTGCCATTTGTTAGTTAAAACAGGATGAGCTTATAGTTTATTTATTCACTCATATATTAATTTATTCAACAAATATATTCATTTGCATCGTGTTAGGCCTTGTGAGAAATACAATAACAAATGAGACATGGACTTTGACTTCTATAAGTTTAGAGGAAGGTAAAA